ATTTTGAAATGTGAACTAATTAGAATTATTTATGTTAGCATATGCTTGGATATGCTCACACTCGGGTTTAGCGGATACGAAATAACATATACGAAATTCAAATTTTTTGCCTACATGGTTTCGAAACTCAAATAAATTTCTAAATGCGAAGTTAATTTAACCGGAATTTCTACAACAGATACAGAATTCTGAACTATATTTACGATGGAAGTCTACTCTCTTCTTTTCCGTATCCAGTGAACGGAGTGAAAAGTGAGTGTGAGAAACATGTGTGAGAGACGTGTGAGTGGTACTGGTAAGTGTAATTGGAAAATGAAATTTAAAAATTCACGCTAAGTGTGTGAGAGAAGTATAAGAGAAAAGTATGAGCAATTGTATGTGTAGAGAATATGATTAAGAAGTGTTCTAAAAACGTGAGTGAAAAGCGTAAGCTAAAATAATTTATAGAAATTCGAGTGAGAAATGTTCGTGAGAATTGTGTGTGCATGTGAGAAATATATGAAGTGGCGTGAGTAAGAAGTATTTGTAAGTAGCGTGAGTGACAAGTAATATATATATATGTGCGATCAGAGGTGGGCAGTAGCGCGCTACATGTAACGGCCGCTACATTTTTAGTAGCGGTAGCGGTAGCGGCGCTACATTTAATCAATTGTAGCGGTAGCGGTAGCGCCCGCTACATATTTAAGTAGCGATACGAGGTTTTGCCGCTACAGCGCTACCGCTACATTTATAGATAAAGCCTTTAGATTTTACTTAATAGTATTAAATATTATTTAAAAACCAGCATGATACATACATAATATAAATTACAGAATAAGTATTAAAATCACTTGGCTAAGTATTAAAAATCACGTCCCGGTGTCCAATAGTGACTTTAGAGTTTTAGCCTCCACAACCGGTGTTTCTGACCTACGAATTTTAGAATCTTTATATATTTTCGAACAGAAACCCAGTTTAAATGCTGCATTCAGTTCCTATCCTCTAGAAATTGTAAATAGATAGTACCCTCTCTACATGTTATCTCATGTTTATTTCTGTTATCTTCGATTTTAGTTCTAATGTCTTCAAGTTTAGGTGAATTGTTTGAATATGAATTTTAGGCTACTAATTGTTTGTACCTGTGTTCTAGGTTTTGAACTGACAATGGAGCTGGACTCCGAAACGTTTTCGCTTATAGGAAATGGTGAACTTTTTGGCTATTTTCTTTACTTTCAAATTCCTGGTAAATTACAGAATAAAACTGTGCGAAATATTTCGGTGCAATGTTGTCAACCTCAGCCTGTTACTAGTGTCAACATGTTACTTGTTGCCAGAAGTGGGCAGTAGCGCGCTACATGTAGCGGTAGCGGTAGCGGCACTACATATAAGCAATTGTAGCGGTAGCGGTAGCGGTAGCGCCCACTGAATTTATAGTATGTAGCGGTAGCGGCCGCTACATTTCAAAGTAGCGCTGCCCAGCTCTAAGTACGATTGATAAGTATGAGCGAAAAAAAAACAAGAGTGAAAGCACGAGTAAGAGTAAAAATTACAATTGTACGATACATTCGACTCAAATTTTCGTTAAGTCATTCGACTTTACGACCACAATCGTTAAGTACAGCTAACTGAATTTAAAAACTTAGAACACTCATTATATATTTCCTTCTAAAAACTGTAAACGAGGCTGTCTTCTCTAACAATTCGTTCATGTTTCGTTCTCTAACACTTTCAAATGAACATTAGCACATTTATTATTATTCAATTACAAAGTTTTTTTCTCATTTACTGAATTTCCGCAGTAAGTAGACCCTGGCTTCTTAACAGTAGATGGTCTGACGGTAGTCCAGGCTCAACATCAGCAGATGGTCTGACGGTAGTCCAGGCTCCACATCAGCAGATGGTCTGACGGTAGTCCAGGCTCCACATCAGCAGATGGTCTGACGGTAGACCAGGCTCCACATCAGCAGATGGTCTGACGGTAGACCAGGCTCCCCATCAGCAGATGGTCTGACGGTAGTCTAAGCTGAAGCCCCTATTAAGGGTGTCTGCCAATTCATTAGCGTCCGTCTTCACGAACAACATGAAGGGCTTCATGGAGGCTGAAATTGTTATCAAATTCTTCTTTAATTATTGTTCTCAATCACTGCAGATTTTTGGACACTATATCATTGCCATAAACGCTGTAAATAGTTCAAATTTTACAAGAAGGAACAAGATAAAAAAACTACGAAAATGAAACATTTCAGTATATATAAAAATGTTTGGCATTTTTAGTTGAAAATATCTGTAAATGTGGAATAGCCGCTTTATTAAGGCCGATGATTATAAGAATGAATTTTAATGATTAGTTCAGACATTGGACAAAATTAATTTAGAATTGATTTAAGTGCTGGAACATAAGTTCTTGCCGATCATGATACAGTGGCGTTTATCCTTCAAATGATAACTTTTGTAGAGGCCGTAGAAATTGTATCGATCCCATCCTACCACACTGTTTTTAAAGAACACAATCCAGTGTCCATTAGGGCTATTTAACTTAACATAAACGAGGTTCATTTAATTAAACATAAACGAGGTTTATTTAATTAAACATAAACGACGTTCATTAATAGAATAATTTCTTATTAGGGTCTCCAAACTCACATGTAACGCTGTTAGGGAAACCGTATCCGCAATACCGGTCTACGGAGAGACCTGTGTCATCCACACCGCCTGGGATGACAACGTAGTCAGTGGTGCAGTTGATGCCCGTAGTTGAGGAAGAGGGAGTGCCTGTCACAGCAGCAAATACTCAATACAACAAATAAGGACTCAACAAATAATCAAATATAAACTCAATATTAAATTGATTATTAAACTTCAAATAATTTCCTTGAGAAAAAGATCAGCGAAAATCATTCACTAAACGGCATGTGAAATTGTAAAGTTTCTTCGTGTTTGAAATTTTCTGAGAAAATCGAGCTATCTTGCACAATTATTTTTTAGGTGGTTCAAACTGAATGAATTGCATTGGTAGGAAATCGTAATGAACCCTAACTATGACAGGAATATATTGAAATAAATAACAAGCTCCATCACAATCGAGGCATGATCATAATCTATGGGTAAAATTTGTTTAGTCTTGGATGTCAAACTTTAACCCTCTGTCTGTTACCCTGTCACTGATAGCAAATTATACTTCCTCAGAGATGAAGGTAGGCATCCTAATGTAAAAATATTATGCAGTAAATCGGCATGAAGTGATAATGGCAGCAACTTCATTAACGGAAAATCAATTTAATTTGGTTTATAATCCGAAATATTGTAAATTTTAAATTACTAACCTTTCGAGTGACGCAGGATTTAATCTGCCTATATATTTGATCGATAGACATAAATGAAAACTGCAGAAGTTCTCTGATTACGACAACGAAACACAATGTCCAATCATGCAATAATAAATTGATTCTCAAAATTAAGTTCTTTTTACGATTTTTTACGTAATTGGTTGGGAGCCTAAAACACATGTGCTACATCTGGCACGGAGGGACATACATATTTTTATTCGGACGAAAGTGACGTCACTTTGACGCCAGAATTACTTGCGTTTCCATATCGTCCATACATATATTTTTTTATAAAGTCTTTTTTCCATCCTCACTTAAATAATGGCGTCGATCTGGTGCATCGAAACTTACTCTTCAAAACAATATTCTTGTCGAGCTACTTCTAGAAAGTTTGATTACGTTGCGCACGAACAACGAAACACTGAAAACTTTTCTGCGTGCCTATATTCATGCTTGAAATGTGCAACCCCGGATTAAACTAATGTTGCTGTTTTTATCACGTGATAATGAACAATGTCTACAGCGCCATACACATGCCTTCTGTATTGGACCACTGGCGCACTATATTACACGGTTCTACCACTACCGCACTATAGTACACGGGTTCTATAGCATTACGAGTATATAACGCTATAAATTAGATGAAACCTTGAAAACCATCAATCAATTGTCTGGACTTTACTCTAATAACCGGTCGTCGGTGAGAAAATTAAATCTAACATATATATGTCGTCACAATATTTGTAATAAGTTTGCCTTTAATTATAATTATAATGTTGATAATTAATAGAAAATAATAATAGTCATGATAAGTTCACCTATTTTAAGTATAATAGCTGGATCGACACCGATCCAGCTATTATACTTATTATACCGATCCACCTATAAGTCGTAGCTGGATCGACACCGTCGACGGCATGCGACACCGTGAAGCCGTGGCCGCCGCCCGTCAGGTTGCGGCTCCACAGGATGCTGCAGTAGCCCTCAGCCATCTGCACGCACACGCTGTAGTCCATGCCTGACACCTGGCGTGTGGCTGGTAAAATAGCGAAGTTTTTATTAGCCCAGTGATATTTCATGATTTACTTTAACTCGGAGTAAGATTACTTATAATTTTTTTATTTGGGCCATATAAACGCACACGCTGTAGTCCATGCCTGACACCTGCCGCGTGGCTGGTATAACAGGGATGTTTTTATTGCAAGCGCATCGATATTGCAAGATTTATTATATTATATTATAACTCAATGCAATATTATTTATAATTATTTTATTTGGGCAATATATACGCGCACGCTGTAGTCCATATATGTAGTCCATACGCTGTAGTCCAATAGCGATATTTTTATTGCAAGGCCATTGATATTACAAGATTTACTTTAACTTAACTTATTTTAACTATGAGCAATATTATTTATTAATGTTCTATTTGTCCCAGTTTTCAGTTAAACCGAAAACATTTAAATTTTCATTTCATTAGTTTTTTATCATTTATATAGTTTTCACCATGATCAACATCATTTATAAACTTTTTGGCGATCTATAAAAGATTTTTCTTATACTGCTGTGATAAACTATAGAGGGTTATTGAAAAAGTTAAAATTAATTGTGTTGCATACCTTCAATTTGCCCAATAGCTAATGCAGTGCAATTCCAGGTATGACGAATAGATACAAGACAATACAAGTGTCATACCTAGCGGAACGGAAGTCTCGTTGATGTCTTGATTGAAGTTGAAACTCTGCACTGTGCCTGAAGTTTCAGTGTAGTATTGGAGGCAGCCTCTTGGCGCTGCACATCGAAAACAATGGTATCAAATGTTAATTAATATAATATAAGAAACCCGTATTGCATTGTTTTTGAAAAAATGAAAAAAGTCACTTTCCATGCCCTGCTGATTTGTATCTATCCTACACGGTATTTCATCTAAATTTATTTATTGTTTATAGAACTCGGCGAATTGGCACAATAGGGATGAAATTTGAATATGATTAAAGAAATAATTGTTCGCAATATGTTTTATAACTCGGTACCTCTGAAGGGCGAAGGTCAGGGAATCTGCTCGACGCTCATATTTGTGATACATTAAAATACACAAATAAGCCTGCTATGTTATGAAACTTAGTTATTATCCTGCTATGATTATTTATAACTTGCGAAGGTCAGGGAATCTGCTCGACGCTCATATTTGTGATACATTAAAATACACAAATAAGCCTCCTAGTAAGAAAGTTAATTATAATCCCTGTTATAATTATTTGTAACTTGTTTTACAACTCAGCACCTCTGAAGGGCGAGGTACAGGGGATGTGCTCAACGATCATATTTGTTATGAATTAAAATACACAAATAAGCCCCTGGTCTAATAAGCCCCCTGTATTATACGCGGACGTTCCAGATTCTGTCGCTGACGGACGCCGCCGTGCGGTCCACGGACAGGCGCACCGACCCCCCGTTGGGATCCACGTCAATGTACACTGCAGGGCACAGAGAATTGGTGCTTGATTTAATAATTATACAATTATTATTATTATTATTATTATATAAGTAGAGAGAATTGGAGCTTGGTAGAGAGAATTACGTAATGATTGCTGTTAATACAAAAGTAATGAGTAATACACATATAACATAAGTAATATACAATACAAATGAGATGATTAGTCCTTTTCATAGGGTAAAATTGATCGACCATAATTTGACAGGAAAGAAAGCGCCAAAGAATTATACTGAATCTTAATTGTTCTATTATTGCAAATTCATAGCGGCATTATGATTAGTATTATAGCTCGAAAAAACAATCATAAGGTGGAAGATAAGATATACAAACAATTACAGTAAAATTACTTATAATATATGAATTTATTATAATATATGAGTTTGAGCCAATGAACGAGCTCGGGTTTCAAATCAAATAAAGTACTCGCTAAATTACCAGCATTATCTTTTAGTTGACGTAACCATTGAGATCTTACTGTGTTGTCCGGTATTAGAGCCGCAGATGATCGGAGCATCAGTGATGCCACCTGTGACGGTGAGGAAGTCGCTGATGCACTGACCGTTGGCATCAGGCTGCGATAGCTCCAGCTGTAGGAAGTCGACGCGCATCTGGCAGATGTCGTTACTGGCTCTGCCCATGAACTTATTAGCTATAAATGACAAATCAATTGGTCTTGTGTTCTTTATTATATATTATTATGTATTTACGAACTACATTTAAAGCTTATCACCCTGCAGTTTGTTACCGACAATCAGACTTTATTTGAGAACTCTCATTCCTTCACTTCCAAACTATATATAATGACGTGACATTGTTTGTGTAAACAGGCCTGTTTGTAAAGACTGTTTAAAAAGTTCCAATTACAGCTGACAAATATATTAATATGCATGGGCATATCTATTGCTTGTAAAATTTGTTGATATAGTTGTTAGGAAGTAAGACACCTGTTGATTGTGAGACTGCAAGCCCCCGCCCCTACGTCCGCCTCCGGGTAGTTGGGGTTCACGAAAAACGTGTCGTTGATATTGGTGGACTGGAGGCACGTCTTCTGAACTGTGTGCACGAACATGTAAACCGTAAGTCTCCGACGTATTGCAACGTGCAATGAGTAATATTATTGATTATTAGACGAAAAACGGTATGGAAACAGTCTTTTATTAGCCGGCGTTTCGTTACAAACTCAAAATAGACAAAATTGTTTGTATGTTCGTTATTTAATTTATCAAATTTTTTATATGTAGATCATAATTTTATTAATGGTTGAATTTCATGAAAAACAATCAAACTTTTAACATTTTCTTAAGCAGTGAAACTTTGAATCGAGCTATGATTAGTGATTAAAATTATAAGTTAACCTGGCAGAAATAATTATTGGCTCCAAAAAAGAAAGTGAATAATTTCTATATTTCTAGTAAAATTTAAATTGACCATACCGCATTATCCCTTTAACGTCTAGTTTTCCATGTATGTCGCCTCCCAAAACCGCATTTGATGTGAATGTGCGAAGCGAAGTTCATTCGTCAAAGCCAATATTCTATATTTAATTTCAGGCTGTGCTATAGACCAGGTGGACATATGTACATGTCACCTGTTAAATTTCTAGTCAAAAAATAAATTTCAGCAATGCGGTATAAATGCAATGTTGTGTTGTCACTGGCTAGAAAATTGGTCCCCAAAGTACTGAAAAATATAACTCAGTACTCACTGCAGTGAGTGACAGAGAGAGCATTTTCTCGTCGACGAAAACGTGAAGTCACAGACGGACGGACGGACGGACGGACATGGTGAGCACAATAGTGCATTTTTTCCATAAATGAGAAAATGCGCTAAAAAGATCTTACGAATGCAGCAGACTGCGAGCCCCTGGGCGCAGGACCCAGACGCGACGCCGGTGCGGGTTGAGCACTCGACGCTCGAGAGACACACGCCCGTCCTGGTGATGTTGTCGAGCGTCGTGCACGGCCTCGGCAGTATTTGCACCATCGAGAAAAACACTGAACAAATTACATATAATTTGTTGAGGTCTTGAAATCTATATGGTATTAAACTACGTTGAAGTCCTGAAAATTTTACGGTATTAAACTGCGACACGTTATTTTCTGGAATTTAATTAAGGGATTTAAGCACTAGCGGGAACGGGATTGTAAATAAATTTGCAGAATTGAGTGATATCTCTCAAATATGTGATATTTACAGCAACAGAGTTAACTGACTGAGCGATGATAGTATCTTAATAATTGTAAGAGGAAAAGTTAATTTTATTTTATTGATAGCAACAGTAATTTAATCTTTTTTTTATAACCTGAATAGAAATCAGTACTATAGAAGTGAATAGGATTAAACCTGCGATTTAAACTATCCTGAATCGGCTGCAAAATAATTGGAAGCAAGATGGATTTTCTGAATTTAAAAAATTTCTAAGTGCGCATTTAAAATAAATAAATTCTTAGTAATAAAATATATAAAAAATACACGTTAAATCATGAACTCGTTCGGTTTTCAAGCATTTATTTTCCCCGTCTTTCGTGCACTCACGTTTGGCTTTCCGATCATTGAGTTTCCAAGTTGAACTCTGGTCCAGCAATTCATTCTTCTGTCGGTCTTCTGAATTTGAGGGAATCGAATTCTCTCTCCTGATCGGTGGACCTTCGTTCAACCCTGAATATTTATCATCAGCATTAAAAAATTCAAGTCCTTCATGATCGTTCAAAATTGCGAAGTCGGTGTCATTCCACAGCATTAATATCGCCGGATTGGAAGAAACTGCTCCTGCAAACGCGTGAATTGCAATCCCAGGTTTGATCAATGCAAGTATTATGGATACCAAACATTTTAGTATTATGTGTGACATCGCTTGAAAATTCTGAAAATAAAAAGTTTGATTGGTGATGCATGACACAACATGAACACAATAATTGTAGGTAAATAAATAGTAATGGTTGGCAAGAGAATTTTTATTTGCTCAAACTTATCTCCATCCGAATTTTCGATTTTCAAGAAATAGTGTCCGTTATTGGCATCCTTAATAGGTGATTTTTAGTTTTATTATTTAACTGACCCTAAAAATAAGTTACAAATGGGTATTTTGTTACATATTAATTTGAGTCCGCCTCCATTGAATGTTGCATAATGTGAAAACAATTGCATGTAAGTGTAGAACTAATATCACAGTAAACCTACTCATTTAACGTCCATGAGAATGGGAGAAGTTTCCATGGCAAAAAAAAAAATCATGCCACAAACGATACATTTCTCAATTACCAGCAGAAATTGCTCTAGAACGTAGAAATATCTATAAATAACTCCTTTTTGTGTGTGAATATATAGATTTTGCTTTCCGTACATTTATGAACGTGATTGTCGTGTATAACTTTCCTATGCAATTATTTGGACAAATCAACAGCAATCCATTCTAAATGAACTACTGATTGAAAAAATTGACAATAATTTGAATACTGTGGGAGCATTTTAATTATAGGCTTCATTTTATCGACATCTTTTCAATTCGTCAGTGCTGCTGGACAAGCTACGTGTGCACGATACGACGAACGGCACGCGAATGTCGACCTACACAGAACGCTGGCCTGCTAACGCGGTTGCCAGAGAAAAAATACAAATTTTTTGAAAAAATACTTATTTCTTAAGAAAATAAATTGAATAATGTTCTAGTTAAACCATCAAATAGCGGTAACAACACTTTATGTACCAGCTTCATCATTACATTGATAAAGTGATAAACTTTATTTCCCTTTGTTTTGAACTTGTAAATTTAGGAAGTCAACCTAGATGTCGTGGTTCTCTTGCGCCAGAGTTCGCTAAGTACGCTCCGATGGCCAAGCGAAATTTAAGCATTTGTCACGGTGTTGCCGCTTATCCATTCGTCCGCTGACTTTTGTTGGAAAGAAACTCTTGTTTTAACAAAGAAAGTGACATCAGTGATCGGTGTTTGAGCAGTCATTTATGGATCATTTGAACTAAAAATCTTCACACCATCGTCCCCAATTAATTTTCAAGCAACGAAATTGTATCATTATTATCCGTTAAGTAGCTGAAATTAGTTAAATTACAACATATTCATGATATTACTTAGTTTGAATTGAATTCACGAATTAATTTTATTCTTTCGTGATTTATTAGTACATATAATAATAGAATTGCATGAAACCATAAGTGTCCAATATAGATTTGTGTGTCCACAGCAATTATAGAGGCCCGCCCGCTCAGAGGACAATAGCTTGGCCAAGAAATGTACAAGTATGAAGAAGCAGTATAATTCAGAAAATATATTATAAATTTAAACACAATATGCATAATATAACATTTATATTTCAAACACAACGAGCAGATGCCGCGAGAGTCAAACCAACGTATTTTCGTGAGCCATTCGTTCCGGTGTTCCAGAACGAATCTTCGCGGAAAATTGCACGATCCGAAGCATTTTAGGTCATCGGGAAAAGCGTCGCGAAACAGCGAAAGCTGGAACAGCAGCGACGAGGCTCCGAGTATTTCCTGTTGAAGCTCAATACTCGATCTCAGTGTGTCTATAGATGAAGCGGCCAGGGCTTGTTGATTATAATACTCAGTGTATACAGATTTTCGAAACAATATTCGTAAAGTCTCATTAATTTCAGATCTTCTTTGGAAATGGAAATAATTTTCTTGGTGAAAAAATTGTAGCGTTGAAATTTATTAGCATATTTATAAAATATGCATTTCATGTTATATAACTTGAATAAAAATATTTTACTTCATCGTGGTAACTGCCTTATGAGCCTTGAAGCACTTTGAACGAGAAATCGTGAATAAAGAGGTTATCAACTAAAAAAATAATTTGGAATTCATTGAGGTATCGGTAAAAAACTTCATGTGAACAGCCTATTATACATCCGAAGAACCTTATTATTAAATGTACATTTTGTTATTGAAGGTGCACGTATGATGCCATTAAAATTGAACGATAAAATAGCAGAGGAAACATTGGATTTTTAGACACGATTGCTACAGCTATTATTAAAGATACTATTATATAGAGGAATACGATTGAGATTCTAAGAAATTACTTCAACATAAATATAAGCCCCAGAACAGTGCGATAAACTGCTTTGGCGGGAGTAAATACGGAGCTATCAATATATATTGTTATTTATATATACAATATATTTACTTGTAATTGTTACAAGTAAATCTTGTCAAGATATTTGCATGGACTTGAACGCTTCAGCGTTCGTTTAGTGACATGTAGGTCCTTTTCCAAGCTTTTCCAGCTGATCAAGGATTCTATCGAAGGACACATTGAGTAAATGTTATTTGTAATATTTAGTTATTAGCCTCAAAACTATTTTTATCCAGTTTACTTTACCTCTAAGTTTCCTTTTTTCCAATCAGTGGTTTTAGTTTGTAACGATAAATAATGATTACCCTGTATTGATCATTATTTATTGATAATAGACGAGGTAACGATGAATTGTGATCACCCTGTGTTGATCGTTATTTATTGGTGATAGGCGAGGTATCGATAAATAGTGATCACTCGGTATTGATCATTATTCACTGCTGATGTGTTGGTTATGTTGTACCGTTGTACGTAGGTTATGCTGTACGTAGTCTCCCAATTGTTGGTCTGCGATGAACGTTCCGTATTTACTTATATTGAGTGCTAAAATAAAAACTATGATCTTGAGTTGAACATCTTGTCATTTGCAGGTCACAACATTACTCAACCTTAGCTACACACAAGTGAAGCATTCCCACATCTTCCACATGGTTGTTCTCTACTCGGTTGAAATAAATAACCTTTCTAGGCCAGTCACATGGAGATGACTTAATAAAGCACATGTATTCACAGTATCATGCATTTTGTTATAGAGCCCCTCATGTACATATTGTTAATATCATTAATATAACAATATCGTTAAAATAACAATTATCATTGACCCTCAAAATATTGTTTAAAACAAGTCAATGTTAGAAAATACCGTCATACAATAGATGCGCCGAATTGATTCCTATAATGGAATTGAGAGATGGTATAGCCTCATTCATATGGTTTATACATTTCCCTTATAGAATATGAATTTTAATCAGTTTAATCATTAGTTCCCAAATTATTGAGCGTAATAGTCGCTTATTGATCTTCTTTTCAAAACTAAAAATCATGTTCTTCTACACATTTGGAGGAGTTTGTTCATGTGTTTGAAGCCTCTTTGGGCACATATCCACGCTACTTACGTGTCATAATATTACTTTAAAATGAAACACTATTTTTAACTTCTGCATCACAAGACGTTTAACCAAAAGTACCCAACACCCCCTATATTTTAATATCAATAATCTAATCGCGATGTCAATCACAAATAACATGTGCAAAAGCAACATCAACATATTGACTCAGCGTCATGCTGCGTGTAACTGGATCATAATTTCATTATAAACAACAACCTGAAGTCACAAACCTAATCGTAGTTTCCCTCAGATAGTATGTCGAGGTTGACACAACCATGTCCAAGAGCATGGTCATCCTTACAAGGAAAAGGTCTTGCAGTCCTTAACCCAACCTCCAGGTTCTATTACCTTGTCGTCCCTGTTTTAAAAATAATAACTTAACACTCCTCACCTAACCCCAGATTCCATCAGCTATATCTGGGCTTTAGCGAAAGTCCTCAGTCATTACATTCATTAAAATAACCTGGAACCCTAAATATAACCTGTCGTTAACCTGACGAATCTCATCTGAAGGCGACCCGGAAGGGACCCGCCGCGTCCGCGGAAGAACCCGCGCGAGCCACGCGAAAGGCGGCTCAGTCTGTCGGACTTGGACACGATAGACTGAGCTGCAACGGGTTATGGATGAGGCTTCATCAGAATCTATGAAGTACCTGGATTACAGACGCCGAAAATGCTGAAAAATATTAACGAACACCGTATAACCCGAAAAAGTTATAAAATGGGGCAAAGAGCAAGTTACAGGGGACATTTCTTAAAAAATATTGACGTCATCGGTGTCACAATAGTGTGATATATACCTCAATCAATATGAAAATCCATACTGGCCCATTTATGATCGAAAAAATATAACTCAGTACTCAGTGCAGTGAGTGACAGATAGCGTCGACGAAAACTTGACGAAACTTGAGGTCATGGACGGACAGACGGACAGACAGACAGACGGACATGGCGAGCAAAATAGTACATTTTTCCATAAATGAGAAATTGCGCTAAAAAGGAGACTCGAAATGAGGATCTCACAATCACTTTTACTTAAACGGTTCTGGCTCACAGTAAAATAAAAGCAGCATATCGATTAACACACCAAAAGATGCACCAGAAGACTAAGTTAATTACCATCTATACAGGAATAATATGATAAACAAGTTTTGAAACCGTAGCGGTATATCTCGCGGAATGTGGGGAAGCCCTCAGCACGTCCTTTTCAACGACAAATTGCGGCCACTTTAGAAGGAGCTGGGACGTGTGCTAACCATCGTCGCGCGCCTTTTAATGCAATAAAGCGTTAGTAAATAAACCCAAGTAGCTACTACTCCTAATTCAGAAGTTATGTCGAAATTACAATTTGGAAAAAAACGTAAGAAAACGCAACTTTGACTATCGTTTTTTCGGGATATATCAATATCCCAAAGGCAAAACCCGCATCAATATGTAGAGATCACTTGCGAGAAAGCGTGTGTAAAGTTTGATCCTGATCATAAAACATGCAACTGAGATATGGACGAAAAACTGCCATTTTTTTGTGAAATTTTATAAATTTTTATGGGGAAAACGAAAATTTTATATCGTAAAAAGTCAATTTTTTTTAATCAGTCATACATCAAAATGTTCGTCATAAATCGGACCATGAGTGTACGAAGTTTAATTGAGTAGATACGGGCCAAAAAAAGATATGGGCGCAGGACTGTAATTTAAAAAAAAAAACACGACTTTTTTCGTGTTTGTACAACATTTTTAACATGAAACAAAAAATTTTCTGCTCGAGACCCACTCAGAAAGTTGAAGAATTTATTTTACACGGCAGTAGAAAAAGTTTGAATGAAATCGAATCATACATTGCCGAGATATGAGCGAAAACTAAATTCATGCACCCCATTGCAGGGTTTTCAAACTAATGAGTATTATCTGTGTAGATATCAAAGTCAATACGCGTAGTTCTGAGAGCGTGGAAAAAAAGCCGGGGGACCCCAATTTTACTAACAGCAGCAAAAATTGGGCTTGGTGATTTTCTTTGTTTAAAATTTTAAATGTGGTTGAAACTTTTCTCATGATAACTTTAACAAAAAAACTTCACTTGTCCTCTACATTTTAAAAAGAGAGCTAAATGGCAGTGCCGTGATGAATGTGGGCTCCTGGTGATCGTCTTTAAAGTAAATGTACTGTAGATTCAGAATCATTCGGGGGACTAAGAATTGAAAACTTCTGAAATTCAGGCCAACCAGACGGAATGATGAGGTCTCATTGTACAAGATACTTCTCAACTCATGCCCTTGACGAATTTCAATTTGTGATAAAGTGCTTGGTTTTTCAACCCTTGTAGGATAGTTTTATACCCTGCAGAAACAATTGATGACATAATTTTTCCACAGTGCACTTTCATTGCAATTTTATCATATTTATCTTGCAGTAAAAATGATATTTCATGCAAAATTTTCTTCTGCTCAAAATTTTCCTCAATATATCATTCATAGTTCTTAAACATTAAACATTGTCATTTGGAACTCGCATAACCTTAAATGTTATCGTAGCCTAAACTAAAACTCCACGGTTTTCCATCCGGAATTTTTTCCTGTAGGGCGTAATTGTCTAAGGTCTTGGCAGCTTATATATTGGGTTCTAGCAGTAGTGATGGTCAGGTTCTGTTGACGTCCGTGACAAGTTCTTGTAAAGCGAGACACCAACAACAGCGCGATCATTGTCACCAGCATCGACAGGGTTCTGCACGTAATAATAGTATGTATAAAACAATAATAATAGTGTAATATAATATTATTAATAATAGTAAATAGTATGTATAGAACAATAGTAATAGTATTATGAAAACAAAGTATGATTAGCTTAAACATACATTATAACATATAAATATCGGCGTCGATGAATAGGCCGGGTTAGATGAACGAAATAAGTATAAATTGAAAATTTTAGCTTCATCATCATTTTTCAACTGATATGTGTGTATTTTGATATGATTTGGAATCGACATACGTGGAGCTCTTGTATCATATCGAATAAAAAGAGATGCAAAATAAATGCAACCTAGAGTCAAAATATTTTTTAATTAAAATACACTCAAGGCAGAATAATCAAACACTCAAAATTAAGAATAATTATAGAGTTATCATTAATATCATTTTATATAATCCTATTATTTGGCATTGATTAACAATATTTTATATGGCAGTTAAATTCCAGTAAGAATAATTTAATTTTCTACATTTAATTGTAGACAATCCATTTTTTAATACCCAGTATTTTTAAGATATTAAGGCAATTAACGTTGTAGAGGGCTAGGTCAATTATCAAGAGGTAAACAATGTGTACTATCTGGATGTAAAATGTATAGGGAAAGGATGTATTTTAATTAGGATGTAAAAGATGCACGATTGCTTTAGAAAGAACCGTAGCTTTGCGGACTGGTATCGTGCGAACGGATTTATTAGGATTTTAGAGAGCGGAGAGTAAGGATGCCTCCATTCTGTGTGTCTTCCCTATAGTCTCCGCGGACTGTAACTTTGCTCATTCTTATATCTGTGTTGTGGTGTAAGATTTCATATATATCTTGACTAGAAAAGACTTTTATTTATGACAAGAGTTCATGCGAACCTGGTGGTCTCCAAAAACATAAACCAATAAAGTTCGATTATAGCACACATGTCAACAACTGGCCACCTAAATGGGAAGTCATATATGAATGGGAAGTGAAATATGAATAGGGAGTGAAATGGCCACCTGAATGGGAAGTGAAATATGAATGGGAATTGAAATGGCCACCTGAATGGGTGAAATATAAATTGGAAGTTAAATGGCCACCTGATAGGAAGTTAAATATGAATGGGAAGTGAAATATGAATGGAAAGCGAAACGGCCACCTGATAGGAAGTGAAATATGAATGGGAAGTGAAATGGGCACCTGAATGGGAAGTTCTGCGTCTCGTTCTCGTAGTCGTACCACGGATACTTGATGACGGCTGGTAGCTGCAGCACTGGCTCTCCTCCTGTACCATAAAAAATTTAATTATTTCTTCAATTATTAAAACTTTTCCGTGACATTATAGAAGTAAACTCTCACTCTTTAAGAATTTTTCATCACTGTAATATATGTAATAATGTAATATACACTGTAATATATGTAATAATAATATATAAACTTTATGAGCACGATTATATTAGTGCAATGCGAAAAAGCATTCATCAAATAGATAACTTATTGACATTTAAAAACAACTTACTTTCACGGCCCTAAAAGCTATTATATCTATGTGATAAATGTGTATAAATATATTGATATTATATGAAAAACAAATTTCTTTCTTTAGATTGAAATATTTTGATTAAATTCTCATGTTAAATCCTGGCTGGAAATTGTTTCGACAGAACATCAATCATAAAGTTACCGCCAACGTGATTTATTTAAGTCGGTGGTGATTTATTACTATAATAAGTTCATCAATACCTACGTATAATATATATGAAATAATAATGAGCAACATTCAATTTTACTGCGTTCCAGCGTTAATACAAATTTCGACATGCTTAAAATTTTAACGGAAAGTAGAATTAAACTTCCGGTAGTGAAAAATTAGGTTCCGATTAAATGGTGCAATAATGTCATTGAACAACCGCGAACAATGACATTATTGCACGCGAACAACCATCTGATAATTATAATGAATACCTCACAAAAAAGTTACCAATATATTTATTTCACAAGCCCCGTCCCAAATAGGTATTAGTATTTATATGATGTAGAACAGATATGAAACTATTTCCATAATAGGAAAATTTCTTAACACTTATTGGTGGTTAATCAGCAGAGCTGGGCAGCGCTACTTTGAAATGTAGCGCCGCTACCGCTACCGCTACAGTAAAATGTAACGCGCTACATTTGCCGCTACAGTGGCCAAAATTATTGGAAATCTCTAAATAGTTATTGTTCTGATATTGGGATTTACTAATAAACATTTAACGATAATAAAACATTTTCGAAACATATCAATGCAACTTTATTGCAATTAACTTAACCGAACTAATACGGGTTAGATACAATAAATAAAAGTTACAGATATTTTCATGTTTTACCTTCCCAGCATGGATGTCTACTTTAATCCACCAATCTCAAAAATTATCCGCATATACATACCTATAAAAAATCAGTCTTTTATTTGTATATATATATGTGGATTATTTTTGAGATTGGTAGATTGAAGTAGACATCCATGTAGGGAAGGTGAAACATAAAATTAACTGTAAAAATAACTGTAAGCAAACTGAAACATGAAAAAAACTGTAAGTGGTAACTGGTAACAACTTAAGGGAGCGTCTACCCTAAAGTTTTCGGATTTGGCTTTTCCGGTTTTTAGTCTCATATTAAAGCAGACATTCTGCCCTATCCAATGGTACCATTACCATCTCTGTACGTTGGTTTATGCGTTCACGACAGATCATGAAAAGGAGGGGGGTGGGGGAGTTCTTTAACAAATAGAATAGGAGGAAATTCGCTGCGAGCACTTTAAATAGAGTGTCGACTTGAGGTGCACCTTAGTTACCTGCCTGGCGTCGTATGAGGAGGTGTGCATGCAGTCGCTCCCACCATCCTTGACTGGAATCAATCTCCTATAAAGTTTAGTTTTGTATCCTTGCTACATTGAGTGCCTATTGCGATGCGCTCGGGGCTTTGTCGCGCTCTCCTGAACATTCACACTTATTGTCACGACAAACCTATCTCCTCCTAGAGTTTTGAAGCTACAGCGATGAGACATATACCAGTCGATTTGTAAAGACCACACCTATCGAGTAACGAAGCCCTTTTTAGCGCATTTTCTCATTTAGAAAAAATGCACTGTTGTGCTCGCCATGTCCGTCTGTCTGTCAATCCGTCTGTCTGTCCGTCCGTCTGTCTGTCTGTCCGTCCGTGACTTCACGTTTTCGTTGACGAGAAAATGCGCTCTCTGTCACTCACTGCAGTGAGTACTGAGTTATTTTTTTAGATTTGTGCATAGTTTGGATTTATGATGGGGGGCAGGGGGGGAAATTTGAAGAAAATGAGAAAAAAATGAGAAGAAAACGGAAAAATTCGTGTAAAAAATTTAAGGCAAAAATAAAAAAAGGGCTCGATTACTCGATAGGTGTGGTCTTTACGCATCGAATGATATGCGTCTCAATGTTGTAGCTTGAAAACCCTAGGAGGAGATAGATTTCTGCAGTACCCCTTTTTGTCCGTTTTCTATGAATTTCACGTTTCTATTAATTTTTCCGAAAAAAATTATACGAACAAAATGTTCTTTTACTTCGGTTTTACATATATGTGTGAAATTTCAGAGAGATCCGTTAGTAAATGTGGAAGTTTTTCTGGAGGGTATAGCCCCCCCTTAAGTAAAATCTAAAGGCTTTATCTATAAATGTAGCGGTAGCTCTGTAGCGGCAAAACCTCGTATCGCTACTTAAATATGTAGCGGGCGCTACCGCTACCACTACATTGCCATATATGTAACGCCGCTACCGCTACCGCTACATGTAGTGCGCTACTGCCCACCTCTGTTAATCAGTCATGAAATACATCCCGGAATATCCAAGTCTTATCCTGGAGTCTGACCCAATATTCTGAGCAGGAAGCCGACGACGAAGGCCACGATGGAGCCTGGCCTGTTGACGTGGTTGGGGCAGTGGACGGCTAGCGTCAGTTGGGGGAAGAGCATCACGTAGACCAAATCCCCACACAGGTAACTGAAACGAGCTTAAAAATTATCATTTCGGAATTTCAGTAGCAAGTTTATAATGAAGGCAGAGATGATACATTCAGATAGAAGATATATAACAGAGATACACGTTGGCACTGAACCATTATTGCATGGTCCATAGTATTTAAAGACGGAACAAGAAAAAAAAACTTGAAATCTTATTAACCAGAGTTTGGACAAGCCACTAGGACTCATCGTTAAAAAAAATAGAACTAACGAAAACTTATATTTATTAGCACACAAGCATTATAAATTGGCTTAATGGCAATCGCCATGATATTTGATGGAAATCATCCTGACGACTTTCCGCCAAATTTTTGCCCATCTCACAATAGGGCATAGATGGAAGTCGTAAAAATGGCGATTGCGCAAGCCACTGCCGTGATGACAGGGATGGCAAGACGCAGCACAATGTTCATCTCCCGAATGCTGGCCTGTGAACAAAAATATTTCAATAATTAAGCTCGTAAAAACAGTTTTGTAAACCTCTTTAATTGCCCAGTCGTATTATTTTCCGCATTTTATTAAGAAGGTGTGGAAGTGTTGCGAAAAAATATTGGAATCATGAAGTGTTGACGAACTTTTGAACCGCAAATTGCCAATATAGACGCTGGATTCAGAGAAGGTAATATATTAGCCCACAAATTTCCACCGAAGTGTAAAAGTACATAATTACACTATCTGAAATGAACTGCTGATACATTTTTTATTTGATTATTATTGCATGGCTCACATGAGGTCGGATGACGCCTTTGTAGACGTTGTGGGTGAACATGGATGAGGCGGATAGCACCGAGGAGTCAGCGGACGACATCACCGCGGCCGACACGGCGCCCAGGCCTATGAATGCCACCCACTAGTGGCAGGATTAGTGCAGGTTAGTGCTGAGCAAGAACTTTAATGAGGAACGCGCAAGATTTTTATTTATAATACGAATACATACAAAATAGATAATTCGTGCGTGTATATAAATGGGTTTGATAATAAAATATAATTATAAAAGTTACATCTTTACAAGTGCACATAAGCGAGGTTGATGCTTTTTACAATAGATTTTATCGAACAGGAGACCAAACTTTAAAGATTTCATTCACTGGAAGTTCAATCACAAGACGTTGAATTAAAAATTATTTGGAGACCCACAAAGCTAATTTTCTTTCAAAAATATTATATCAAGCTTGAGCTAATATTGAAGTTGAAGCACCACAAGCAATTTTCATTTTAAATGGGAGCGTCTGGGTCCATAANGCAGCCTGTCTCTTATACACATCTAGATGTGTATAAGAGACAGGCGTAACCGTTTTGCACTCGATTTACTCGCGTACCGACAGTTTTGCCCATTTATGGACTCGCGTACCGACAGTTTTGCGTCTTAATGGACTCGCGTCCCGACAGTTTTGAGCCTTAATGGACTCGCGTACCGACAGTTTTGCGCTTTAATGGACTCGCGTTCCGACAGTTTTGCGCCTTAATGGACTCGCGTTCCGACAGTTTTGCGCCTCAATGGATTCGCGCACCGACAGTTTTGCGCCTTAATGGACTCGCGCACCGATTATTTGCACTTGATGGACTCGCGCACCGACAGTTTTACCTTTTGATAGATGAACGTAACAGATTTTCACTTGATGGACGCGTACCGACAGTTTTGCACTTGATGGACTCACGTACCGACAGTTTTAGCGATGGCCCCGATGAGGACGGCAGGGATGGCCATAACGAAGCAGCCGATGGCCGCGCCGTAGGACAAAATCTGTGCCTGCCTGCCAGTCTTGGCGGACAGCACGCGCTGGAAGTACACCTGCGGACAGAAGGTGGAGAAGTAGATTAAATATTTTCCGTTTTAAACTGAATTTTCATATTAGCAAATTTGTTTTCAATAAAATATTGAATTGTATAAGATAAATAACATCAAATATTCTCAACTTTAAACTAAATTTTCAAATTAACCAATTCGTTTTCAACAAAATTTTGTATTCAGGATGAATACCTGAACTTTATATTCGAGCAAGCAGCAGAAGAAAAAAATATTACAAATTCTAAATACTAGATGAAAAGTATTATAAAATATCATAGAAATTAGTTACCTGCCAAGGGATGCCTCCGCAGATGAGGAGGAATGCATAGTCCCACCATGTGCCCCACTCGTAGGGGTTGTTGGGGGGCTCCCCGAGCCAGTTGGTCGTGTTGGGGTTCAGGGAGCCCGAGTACTCGCTGTGTAGAGAGAACGGCACTGCCAGCCACTGCACAAACATATATAATAATGGCTTCAGTTGTTCAGTGGATAATGACTTCAGTTCACTTCAGGATAATGGCTTCAGGGTTTTAGTTCACGAATACATAATTACTTAACAACTAAGTGTCTAAGTTTGTGTCGCATATTTGATTAACTCAAGTAATTGTTGCTAGTCGACATGCAGTCATTAAAGTGAGTTTTCTTAGTTTGTTTTTTGTAGCAACAATCGTAGAAGAAGAGTTGTTTTTCAGTCGTTGGTTATCAGCAAAATTAATGTAAGTTGATTCTTTTCTCAATCGTTGGACGGTATTCACATTCATAGAAGTAGAATTTCTCAAGTCGCTGGTTAGAATTCGCATTCACTGAGGTGATGTGTTTCTCCGTCATTGGTCGGAATTCACATTCGCTGAAGTCAAGTTTTAATTTAAATCTCATGGTCTTTATTGTTTAAGTTATGCATAGTTGTGATTAGTTATTTTTATACTCCCGTATAGATACTGCCTACGCAACACACAACACGCACTACAAATCTCACACCACACACTCACCAGGCCAATAGCAATACAAAAGAGCTGCACCACGTCTGTGTATGCCACAGAATACAGCCCTCCTACAAGGGTGTACAGCACGGCTATCGACGCCGACACTACGATTGAAATAGCGTCAGGTAAATCCAGGATTACCGACAACGTCGAACCTGTAACAAAAATAAAGCCTTATTGTCAACATCAAGACTTCCGGGATGGTGAAAATAATTAATAACC